GCACCTAGCTTCAAAGTCGGTGTGTGCAGGTCAGGTGTGCACGTCGTGAGCAAGCAGCGAATTGTGGCAGTCAGTGAGGTAGTGAGTGGGTGCGGTGCGATGGTATGTATCAATCATACCTCTCTCTATGCACACACAACGAGGCAAGCCAAGGCAAGGCAGCAGACACAACACAACACAACACAACACACCAGACCACAGGCAGGCAGAGCGATGCAGTCACTGCACGTGCGATAGATGTTGGGTGCGTGAGTGAGTTGAATGTGTGTACGCGGGAGTCATTCGCCTCCATCTTTGGAATAATAATGATGAAACAGACAAACAGAAGGGAAGACATGGAGGGAAGGAGGGAGGGAGGGAGGGAGGGAGCAGCCAGCGGGGCTGCTGTGTGTGTCAATACATGGGATATATAGATAGACAGCTACCGTACGAGTAGCACCGAGTAGTACACAGCGATCCATCAGCGACCTTCGCCATCCTCACCGGCTATACAAACACAGTCAGACGCACAACATCCCGAAGCATCATGCCCCTCCCTGACCCCGCCACGCCCCACAGCAAAACACAACACAATGCACAACAAAAACACCACGACGCCCCCTCCCCCCCTCCCACAGTCTCCCAGCCGTCATCAGATGGCCGCTCAGGTGTTCCTGTCCCTGAACCGGCCCGCCCTCGGCACCGCAGCGATGACGCCCACCGTCCTTCCCGACGACGGGTTCTGGACCAGCCGGATGTCCCCTGCCTTGGGGTTGACCCCCGGAGGCGAGCCAGGCCGCTTAAGACGTACCGGCTTCTCCTCCCTCGGCGGCGCAGACACCCTCGCCCCCACCCCTGCCCCCGGCCCTGCTCCTCCCCCCGTGCGTGGCGCTGGCTTGCCCGTCACCGCCTCGTCATCGGCGCCGCTGCCGTTGTCGGGCACGAAGGTGCCATTGGTGCCGTTGTTCTCCTCGTCGTAGAATGGCGTCACACCGTCGTAGAAGGTGTAGTTGGCGTCAGCACCCCCGGGGCCGCCGCTGCCCGGCTGAGGCCCGCGACCGCCCGGCGGGCCGAAGGGGAGGGTGGGTGCCTTGTGTGTGCCGTTCTTGAGTTCCTCGATGTTGTCTGCCACCTTCTCGGCGGAAGAGGGCTTGTGGTCCTTGTCCTTGTCGTCGAGTCCGATGTTGGGCCAGTTGCGGTTGAGCGCGTCTTCCTTGTCGCCGATGGCGAGCTTCTCGGTGCGGAAGGCGCGGAAGAACTGGGGCATGATGGCGTTGTTCTTGACGGCACGCGAGCCCTCACCTCTGCCAGCTGAGAGAGAGAGAGAGAGAGAGGGGGGGGGGGGGGGGGGGGGGAAA